CGCGCCCAACCTCTAACCTTCCTTTTGACAGCTACACTACTCCCTTCACTACTCCCCTCCCCTTCCGGGAGGGTGGCTTGCTCCGACCTCCCTCCCTTCTCTGCTGCCGGAGCTGCTTCCCCTGATACACTGGAACCCCCATCCCCTTCGCTGCACTCTGGCGGGGAGGCTGGTCCTGACGCCCAGCTGCCACTTTGGGATCCCCCGCTGGCCCCCTGCTCTTGACACGTTCCCCCTGGGGCTCCCCTGGCCTTGACCACCGGTGCCCCCTTCTGGGAATCCTCTGATTCGCTGGAAAGACTCATGGAATCTCTTGAGTCATTGTCATCCTCTTCCTCGCTGTCCTGGGATTCATCCCCATCGCTCTCCATCTCCTGCCTACCCTGTGCCTCTGTCCCTGAACCCCTGACAGGTGGTTTCTGTGAATGACAAAATCCTGTACACGTCTACTGAGAAGTAAGTCCCAGTTAGGCTTACTTCCATGTAAATGGATATGGAATTGCAGCCTGAGCAATTGGAAGTTAAACGTTATTATTTTTTTATTCCAACTGTTTATCTCCCATTTAATTACAATTGTCTCTAAGCAGTGTACAGAAGCTCAGTATAATGAAAGTGAAAATATGTTAAAACCATAACATCAGAACTCAATTTTCAGGAGGTACCAGAAGTTCAACAGTGGGATGGCCTGTCTTACCTCAGCTGGGAGAGAGTTCTGTAGAATTGAGCTCACAATACTGAACACACCAGCTCCTGGTGGGTACAAGCCATATATCTGAGCCATGGGGGACCACAAGCAGTGACTTCCCCGTAAAACAGTGTGTTCCATTGTCAGCTCAAGCATAATATTTGCAAATGGAACTGATTCACACGTTCAGATGATAGACATCAAGTGCTGACAAGCAAAGGAAGCCGTGTTAGTCTATAAGAAAAATCCTAAAGAGGGGGAAATATTTTTCTTAGGACCAAGCAAAATGCCACAAAATAGTGGAGAGGTTAGAAGAGATGACAGGATTTGAATGTATGTGTGCACTAGCCTGGGGAAAAGGTTTTCTTGGGTTAATTTTCCAGTGGTACAATGGCAAAGAATGATGCTTGGGTTTGTTTTTATGGGATGTTCTACTGCTTTTAAGTAAGTCTGATGAAGGATGGTCTGCAAGTTTAAAACCTGAGCAGGCTGGATGATGCTACAGATAAAATGAAAGTAATTATAGTTTTGGTGTTTTTTGTTTTTAAAGAAAAAGAATATGACACAGGAGCAAAGACATCTTCCAGAGACTTCACAGTGTTAGTCTACAGCAGCAAAAAAATAATATAAAGAGAGATACATAAGCATATTGTCTTTGTCAATAAATCACAACTTAAACTGATTAAAATATGAAAATACGCGTTCTACCTATTTTCCCACACTCCAGTAAGCAATATGGTAAGAATAATTCTCAGATACTTGTACTCCATTTTGTCTTAGTAGGATGGTAATGGGTCACACATGAGTGATTCTACAGAATAAAGGATAAGATTAGATAACTCTTCTTAATAAAGTGAGCGTATTTCCAATGAGGGTTTTTTTGGTGTCAATTAATCACAGTTATGCATCTGGGGCTAACTTCCTTCTCTTTTTAAATGTACCTCATTCAGAGTCCTGAAAATGAGGTTAAGCAAATATTACTGAGCATGACAGTTCACACTTTGGACAGCTGTTCCCAACTATTGTCCAGAAATTAACTTGAAGTCATACAGGAAAAGGTTTGTGTCAAAAGGAAGGAAGGAAGGGCAATTCTTCTTAAGCCATGTGAATAGCTTTTCAAAGGTGACCTTATCCCTGACCAAAGGTAAGTCTCACTGTGAGGTAAGAAATAATGAGCGTCCCCCATCAATCTGCCTGGACACTGAGGACCAGTGCCGAGGGCCTTCTGGCGGTTCCATCACTGAGAGAAGCCAAGTTACAGGGAACCAGGCAGAGGGCCTTCTCGGTAGTGGCGCCTTCCCTGTGGAACACCCTCCCACCAGATGTCAAGGAAATAAACAACTCTCTGACTTTTAGAAGACATTTGAAGGCAGCCCTGTTTAGGGAAGTTTTTAATGTTTGATGTTTTATCATGTTTTTAATATTCTGTTGGGAGCCGCCTAGAGTGGCTGAGGAAACCCAGCCAGATGGGTAGTATATAAATTATTATTTTTTAGGATGCTTATGTTCTAGAAAGGAGTGTTTTCTAGATTACAAAGGGAAAATGCTAATTACACTCTGCACTGTTTCCAGCTTCCCCTCATGGACCAGTAGCAGATAAGGGAGATGACTTTCACTGATGATAATGTTGGATGGTAAAGAATAGCCCTCCCACACTATGATCCAAAGAGAGGCACAGCAGACCCTCCAAGTGGCCCTATTTTCCAGGGACGTCCCTGATTTAGAGAAGCCCTCCTGGTTTCTGATTTGTTGCGTGCCGAGGTCCCCAGGTCCACCCCAATAACTCACACATCACACAGAAGTTTTGTTTAAGATTTTTGGCATAATTTTGGCCACAACTTTATTAAAATACAAATTTGTGAGTGGTTGCGTAGGCATTGGTTGTGACTATCTGCCCCCACCATGGGGGACAGACTGACATTCCGCACGATGCGAAAGTCAGAATAGGGGAATACACTTGGGGGTTACGCGGAGCAGGGAACCTGCCCTCACCCCAAATGCAACCAGGAGCTCATTGCTATGGCCCGAGCCCCCTTGACAGAGTGGACAAGCAATAGTTAGCCCCCAATTCCTTTAATGGAATCCCTTGCAGCAGCAGCATTAGAGGGGCAGGCACAGCCAATCCATGCCCCTCAACCAACCAAACCATAAACCAATGCCTAACCGCGAACCTTACAAGTTGTGACGATTTGCTACGCAGTAGGCAAAAACCAAATGGCCCCAGCCAATCAGCCAGATGGACAAAATTCCTACCAGGCCCCCGCTCCAAAGCAGACGACCCCATGACAGGCATAGCAAGGTCAAAGCGAACAACCCTATTCTAGGGAGGGAGGGACGGGCAATCTGATGCACGGGCGAAAAGAGGAAGCCCTAGCCTCGTGCAAGGAGTTTTACTATTTCTGGCTGTCAATCAAAAAATGGCAACATTAACTTCTTCCCAACAACAAGGGAAGCCCCAATCGTATCAGTGGCCAACGATCAATTAGCCCGCCCCCCAACTTTGGAGTGTCCTGGCGGCCCCCACCGCAACACGTGCTCTCCATGAAGGAGAACACGCTATCCCGGAATGTCCTGCTTTTTCTTAGTACATCCCTTTTTATTGGAGAAATGTTGGGGGGGGTATGGTAGGATGTCCCTATTTTCACTGGAGGGTATGGAGTTATCCGACCCCCGAGGCATCTGAAGGCAATCCTGTATAGGGAAGTTTTTGAAAAAAATGTTTAATGTTTTATTGTGTTTTTATATATGTTGGTAGCTGCCCAGAGAGGCTGGGGCAACCCAGTAAGACGTGGGGTATTTCTCATTATTCTTTCACTGCACAGCTCATATTCATCCTGTCTCGGCTGAACATGCAGTAAAGAGAAACTGTGCTTTTCTACTTTTCAGACTGGAAATGGGAGTTGTTCTGAACATGGCATGACTAAAGCAGAATTTTCTGGAGGATCTCTTCTGGGAGAGCTTTATCAGCCAACTCATCCATTATATAATTATTTAAGCTGTCCTAACTTCTGACCAAAGTCAAAAGAGAAGAGTCAACGTATTTACTGCCTCTGTCATTAACTTAAGAAAGACATATGATGATTTGATATCATTTTCTTCATGCCATGTACAATCTGTTGGAATTAATTACAGCCCATCATCAACTCTGTGCCAAAGTGACCCAAATGACTGAGAAGTCTCTTGCGTTTAATAAAATACAATCCAATTAAGAGGAACGCTTCGGGCCAAATTTGTTGCTGGTGTGACCGGGCAGAGAATGAATGAAGCCATTATTTACCTCACCAGAAAATTTGGCCTAAGCAGGATATATGCCATGATCTATATTTTAAATGACAAAAGCTGCAACTCAGGATTTTATCCAGATTGCTATTTTAATGTCAGTGCTAAAAGCCAAGGAATGTCAGATGTAACTTATTTTCACCCTTGGAGTGGTATTACCAGCTCAGAGGAAATAGAATTGCAAACGTTCTTGACCAAAGTCCTGAGAATGGAAGCCAAGAGATATTCCCACAGTGAGGCAGCTAGGCTGGATCATTTGCGACTGAATCACACGGCATGGGGAAAGTAACGTTACAAACTGGAAGCATTAAAATCCACATGGAATCGTTGAAGAGTGTTTATTTGTGCAAGATCGAAGCTTGCCAAGAGCCTGGGCAGAAAATGAAGCTTCACAGAATAAAAGTTAAGCATACTATTGTTAAGGGAAGTAAGCAACTCCTTGTTACGCAGGGAGCTAATGAAACAGAAAACAATAGCTATAAGTTTTTATAAAAGCATGGTTTTATAAGAGCCAGTGTGGTGTAGTGGTTAAGAGCAGTAGACTCGTAATCTGGGGAACCGGGTTCGTGTCTCCACTCCTCCACATGCAGCTGCTGGGTGACCTTGGGCCAGTCACACTTCTTTGAAGTCTCTCAGCCCCACTCACCTCACAGAGTGTTTGTTGTGGGGGAGGAAGGGAAAGGAGAATGTTAGCCACTTTGAGACTCCTTCGGGTAGTGATAAAGCGGGATATCAAATCCAAACTCCCCATAGTGAATTTCTCAAAAGGCCTGTCATTTTAGGAGCAATCCTCCACTTGAGAAATTGAAAAAACATGGACTACATGGAATTGGCGGAAATGACTGGCAGAACCCGAGACCAGGGAGAAGAGTCGGTGGAAGAAGATTGGAAGAAATTTAAAGATTATTTACAGAAATATTGCAAAATTAATGAATGTTAGAATGATGTTGGAATGAAGTTAGGTGGTTTAAGCAGTAATGCTATAAAGGTGTGTGTAAAAAAGGATTGTTAATAGATGAAAATTTAAAGTTATAGTATATTAAGTTAAAGGATCATGAGAAAACAAAGAGGGAAAGAAATTGCTGACTTAACTAATTGAACTGGAATACAAAAAGGGAGGTATGAGGAGGTCAGGGAAACAAGGATATGAATGTAAGCTATGGAAAGATTGACCCATTTTTCTTTTTTCTCTTTTTAAGTGTCTTTTATTCTTTTATTCTGTATTTTGTATTTTTCTTGTATTTTTACTTTTTGTTTTTCTGTAATTCTTTTTTTCTCTGAAATTTTAATAAATATCATTTTAAAAAAAAGAGAGAAATTGAAAAACCAAGACAGTGAGGTTGGGTTGACATCTACTGCTTATGTCCACTTGTCTTTTTTCTTTCTTTCTTGGATGCAATCCTATGCATGCCTACTTAAAAACATGCATAGAATATATTGCACCCTAAATATAATACCTGTAGCACTGCAACCTGTAGCGTTGCACCCAGTCTCTTCTGTAACTGAGGTGCAACAAAAATGGGAAACCCAAAAAGGAGCTAGAAACTGAAGCCCCCCAAAAGTCGTGGGGTAGACAAGAATGTGGATTACTGCATTTCAGACCCTACTAGTTCTTCTTCAATGGGACGCGGGTGGCACTGTGGGTAAAACCTCAGCGCCTAGGACTTGCCGATCGCATGGTCAGTGGTTCGAATCCCCGTGGCGGGGTGAGCTCCCGTCGTTCGGACCCAGCTCCTGCCCACCTAGCAGTTCGAAAGCACTCTTAAGTGCAAGTAGATAAATAGGGACCGCTTTATAGCAGGAAGGTAAACGGCGTTTCCGTGTGCTGCGCTGGTGCTGGCTCGCCAGCTGCAGCTTCGTCACGCTGGCCACGTGACCCGGAAGTGTCTTCGGACGGCGCCGGCTCACAGCCTCTAGAGCGAGATGAGCACGCAACCCCAGAGTCGGACACGACTGGCCCGTACGGGCAGGGTTACCTTTACCTTAGTTCTTCTTCAAGAATATTTAAAATCATTTTTAAAAAATCAATTTTAAATTCAGTTCTTCCTGGAAATGACTTAGCAAGTATTACACACGATTTGCAGACCAACAAAATATGTTACTTGCAATAGCCAGAAATCTGAGTCTGAAACCCAGTCTAGGATGCACACAACGCTAAGCAAAATCAAGGCTAAGCATAAATGAGCAGACTTGCAGATATACACAGGAAGAAACACGACTGCTTTGCTCTTCACCTGCTGCTACGCTACCCAGTGCTAAGCCATGGTTTGGTTTAGTGTTGCATTCAATCCTGGACTCATGATTTGTCTCGGTCCAGACAAGTCCCAAGCTGTAGCCAAGCTTTACTTGCTGCTCTGGGCAACACAGCAGCAGCAAGACTGGGGCAGGAGTGAAGCGGCCACCAATTCTAATGTGAGCACCTGCCTGCTTGCTTGGTCATGCCTGCCCATGCCTTAGCAAACTAGGTCCAATACTATATGGGGGGAATACCATTGCAGAATGGGACACGGGTGGTGCTGTGGGTTAAACCACAGAGCCTAGGACTTGCCGATCAGAAGGTCGGCGGTTCGAATCCCCGTGACGGGGTGAGCTCCCGTTGCTCAGTCCTAGCTCCTGCCCACCTAGCAGTTCGAAAGCACATCAAAGTGCAAGTAGATAAATAGGTACCGCTCCAGCGGGAAGGTAAACGGCGTTTCCGTGCTCTGCTCTGGTTCGCCAGAAGCAGCTTAGTCATGCTGGCCACATGACCCGGAAGCTGTACACTTGCTCCCTCGGCCAATAAAGCGAGATGAGCGCCGCAACCCCAGAGACTGTCACGAATGGACCTAACGGTCAGGGGTCCCTTTACCTTTACCTTTACCATTGCAAAGGACACAGGATTTATGTACCTCTACTCCCTCCCACCCTCTTCCTTCTGTTTATTTTTTTCCTTTCCACCACCTCACTTATTACAAACAACAACAGTATGATACTGTTCCCCAAACACAATATGTTTCAATCACCTCTAATTGGGGAGGCAATGAGTAGTTGGAACTGCCTTAAAGCGGTTAGATAAAATGCTCTTTTGAGCCATACCAAGTCTGTGATGTTATGTTACTAATCTGAACCCAGAACCCTGCATCCCAAAGCAAGGTGTTTGATGACTAATAATCACCCTGTTATATACTGTAGTTCTGATCTTGCATCATTTCTCTAATCTTAGTGTTCCATTTTAAACCCAGCCCTGTAGCCAGAATCCTAATCCCACAAACCTGCAGCAAGTTCAGCAAAATATATCACACTCATTTTTTTCTTCCCCAATATTCAGGGACGACAGCCTTATACAAACTGATTTTCAAAGGGAGCAAAATCATAAAAGGGTTCAGAGAGCTGTAATTCTAAGTGGATAAGGCAGAATGAAATCTTCCTTTACTTGTGACATTGCATAGTCAATTACCAGTCTCAGAAGTAATTTCAACTGACATAGTATTTAACGTAGAGATCCCATGCTGTAAGAATTATTGCTCCCGGTTGGAATGGCTTCAAAAACAACCCACCAAGATAATATTAGTTTTCATTTCACTTTTGGTCCCATGTGTCTAATCATAAGAGCTGAACAGTATGTCATGTGCAAAACATTGACTGGATGTTGAAGCTGTGACACTAAATGACAAAAGAAGGATATGCACAGTTAGCTAGGAAATGTACCAAACTGGATATTTTCCAATACAATGCCACAGTAAATTAGATCTTTCGAAAAGGCAACCCATGTAATCCTAGGTTTGTTTGCTTTTTCCTTTCCATCTTCCTGCATTGTTCTAATAAATGCAAGTCCTAAAACAGAACAGAATCTTCTGCTGCTTATTTCCTTCTTGGGTGTGGGAAGAGGGAGACACAGATGGGGGGGATTCTACCCTCTGTCTTCATACACCCCATGTTTTTTGGGTTTGTGAACATGGAGTCCATGTGCAAACAACTTGTGCAGATGTAGCTTTGGTCAACATGAACTGAGATGCTATAAAAAGCAGGAAAAGTGCCTACAAACACATGAGATCTTTGCATGCAAAGTCAATAGGTGTGTGGAGGTCGTGGTCAGGCAGGCCTAACAAGATGGAGCCCACAAATGAATGTCTCTGAGAGTGACAGGATGTGGGGACATGCCATACCTCCCAGGAAGGTTGTACAGAACAAATATTTAATAATAAATAAAGTAAATGTTTAACCCCACCTCCCCAATGGCTAAAAGTGACATGAACAGGATTTAGACAGATTTGTCCATTCCTAGTGTCAACCACCCCATTAAAATTATTAAATACAGGAATGCATTTGGCCACATCACTGCAAGGACTTGAAAAAGATGGCAGTGGTGGAGTTGCATAACTTCAGGAGGAGCAGGTAAGAACACAGCAGGTTTCAAATTGAGCCATGAAACTTTCAATCCCAGTGCCACCTGGTGTACTCATTCTAATCATCTTGCAGGAGCTGTACTAACAGAGTCCCATGATACCCTTAACAGTAGATCCAAACTTTTGATTACCTGAACAATTGGATATCCTCCAGGCCTTCAGATAGATGGGACTGTGCTATACAGTATTTTTAATATCACCACTAACACTTAGGAGAATATCTATAGCCCTCTGCATCTGGAATATGAAGGGTTAATGGGACTAGCATTTGTTTATTAAGCCCATCAAGTACATGTTTCTGCAAATTTGTCAGTTATCTGAGCGAGGCCAGAAAAACAACATGGATCTTGAAAGAAAAAGAAAGAAAGAACTTCCCTGCCCCTGAGAATTAAAGAAAATGTACTGTAGATAACTAGATATCTCTATGTAATGAATATTTTTATCAGATTCTATCATATGGCTCTGTATAAAAGAATAATTCTTTATCCATGTTAACAGTCAGTGAACATCATATTCACTTAATGGTACCACAATGGGATCAGCTGTCTTGTCAAGTAAATCTATTGCATCAACACCGTGTTTTATCCCTCGATCTTCAGCTTCGTGCACATAAAATTTTAATACGTACAGTCTTCAGCAGAATGTTCTTTTGTCCATCAGTCACAAATGCATGGTTTCATCCTCTAGTACCACAGTATATTGATGTTACTGTGCATGGTTGCTTTTGGAATCCATCGCAAAGGAGACTGTAAGTTAAAAGGTCTTTTACATCAATTCTAGGGAAATCAGAAATGTGCATCTGTGGATATTGCTGCTTATGTTGAATTTCCAATGGATTCATGCTCCTATCCTATAAAAAGGGCCCTGTTTTTAACATGAAAACAAATGTATTCTGTTTTGGCGGGGGAAATGTATATATTTTAAAGCATTTTGATCATATCTGCTCCATATTTGGATTTCCTGAAGAGCTAGACTCGTTTTCCTATAATAACTTTATGGCGAACTGTGGCAAGAGAAGTTGTAACCTAATCATGTGACTGAATCACAAAGAAGTATGGTAGGGGGCTTTAGTCAAATGAAACCATTCTCATGTTCAATGAACACATGTGGAAGTAGTGGAAATGTGCATGCTAGGCACACCCTTTCCATGCCAATGTACCCACTGGTCACAGTCCATGACAGCCACACATTTGGTGTCCATAAGAAAGAGGCTACACACACACACACACACACACACACACACCCTGTATGTAGGCTTCTCCAGCTATTGGGAATCTTGACTGGCTCAGACTTCTAATCAGGTGGAAAATCCCTATGTGCCTAAGGCTAGCCAATCAGAATTCCAAATACCATAGGTGAATCTTGATTGGCTTGGATTCGCAATCAGATGCACACAGATATATGTGTCACTTGTTAACAATGACAACTGCTGGGGGCTGTGGCCACTGGACACATCACAGTGTAGGAGGTAAAGGCAGTAGGCACGTTCCTACTACCGCTGTGGGGCATGTCTGAACAAGGAGTACAACAAGGCTGTATATTGTCTCCCTGCTTATTTAACTTATATGCAGAATTCATCATGCGAAAGGCTGGGCTGGATGAATCCCAAGCCAGAATTAAGATTGCCGGAAAAAATATCAACAACCTCAGATATGCAGATGACACAACCTTGATGGCAGAAAGTGAGGCGGAATTAAAGAACCTCTTAATGAGGGTGAAAGAGGAGAGCACAAAATATGGTCTGAAGCTCAACATCAAAAAAACTAAGATCATGGCCACTGGTCCCAGCACTCCCTGGCAAATAGAAGTGGAAGAAAGGGAGGCAGTGAGAGATTTTACTTTCTTGGGCTCCATGATCACTGCAGATGGTGACAGCAGTCACGAAATTAAAAGACGCCTGCTTCTTGGGAGAAAG